AGAGAGAGAGAGAGAGAGAGAGAGAGTAAAAGAAGTAGTGGTATGAAGATTGAGCAAAAATTCTTTGATATACGAGATAAAAGTGAAGTAAACAAAGAATATTCTCTCTCTCTCTCTCTCTCTCTCTCTACGCATTTCAATAGAATTTGAAATAGTTTACACACTTTTTTGAAATTACTTTTAACGGCTTATTGTTTGTAATATACAGTATAGTAAATATTCTCGCAAATAAATCTCTTTATGCCATCTCAATACCCAATAAACTCAATCCATTATATGTTTACCGAGAATCATAATAATGACCAAATTCTTAACAAATTTCCCCATAAAATAAAGAGAAATGCATGATATATGTGCTCACGAGTGCTCTCACGACATACAATACATCCCATATACAATATAATGTAGTGAACACTTGAGTACTGTTCACTAATTTCATATATAATACTTATTTTGGAGGTCTTTAGTCTCTCATCTGACTTACACTCAACTCTCACTTTAATTGAAAACAGAGAGAGAGAGAGAGAGAGAGAGAGAGAGAGAAATTGCGCCGAATATTTATATTAAAGAAAACACACATTTAAATCACGAGATAATTAGAGCCCGAGTTGTTTGTCGGCATAAAATCCTTTTGTTTGCATTTACTCTTCGCTTATCTTTACATTTGAATGCAATGAATATATGAAGTAATTATAATTGTAAATATCAGTGCATTTAAACAAACATCGACTCAATTAACTGGTTGTCAAAAAACCTAATCACTGGTAAAACAGTGGATAGAGGTATGTCTGTTCAGAATTTTAAGTATTTAATGTATGCTTAATTAATTAATATGAATGTTTGACAATAAATATTTCATTTGATTACAAACCAGTAGAATATTCTGTTTTATTGGTTTACTGTATTATATGCAATGTTTTCAACTTCAAACGGAACCAATATTTCCTAAAGTAATAGACTTTTATTATAATTAATTTAATAATTACTTAATTAAGATACTTTCATCAAATGAATGGCTAAAAATAAATTATCTTATAATAATATTTGAATCATTAATTCATTAGTATTACATTGAAATGTGAATAATACATTATTTCCGTACCAAACGTTATATTTCACTATATTATTGATTGTTACTATAAGTGAAGCAACAATTGCGTGAAATTAGCATTTTGTGACAAATTTAGAAACAATTTATTGAAATAATGACACAAAACATTGATTTAAAAAGTAATATATTTATACACTCTGTCATAGAGTCTATGGTCAGAGAGTGTGAGTGTATAGCAATTTGAATGCAATGCTCGTCAATACAGTGTAAACTCAATCAACTATTTATTTGACAGAATCGTGACATCAGAATATTCTGACGCAACCGACGCCTCTCTCGCGTCAGACTATGACAACAGACAACACTTATATTACACACAACAGGCTATACGAGGGAGAGAGAGAGAGAGAGAGAGAGAAAAAGAGAGAGAGAGAGAGAATTGATNTGAATCCATTGAATTACATGTTTCTACATCTAGCTAACACCTAATTGCGTACAATTTTATTCTGAAGCTCAGTATCCATTCAATTTACCGACGCCTCTCTCGCGTCAGACTATGACAACAGACAACACTTATATTACACACAACAGGCTATACGAGAGAGAGAGAGAGAGAGAGAGAGAGAGAGAGAGAGAATTGATTGAATCCATTGAATTACATGTTTCTACATCTAGCTAACACCTAATTGCGTACAATTTTATTCTGAAGCTCAGTATCCATTCAATTCAATATACAGTACAGTACTTGTAGTCTACAGTGACTGCACTTTATGGCTATAACCGTATTATATTGTTTGTGGCTTTTCTTACTTTCTCGTAAACACGTATAAAAACACAATTGTTTTTCGTAATTCAGAGAAATTTATTTATTGGTCGTTTACGTCAGGAGTCGTGAATCAGAAAACATGAAATATATTTTAGTAAATCCAAAAAGAAATTACAGAGAAAAAGTAGTCTAGATTTTTCATAACTATTACACCCGACAGTGAAAAGACATTTTAATTTAAAATAAAATCAATGTTAATATTTAAAATCAAAATCTCAATTATCGTTGCATTTATGATTACATAGCGTATGAATAGTCACCCACTCATCCATTTATGCATAAAAATTGTTTTTATTCACACTTTTAAACACATATTCATCAAAAAGCAATATATATTAAAAATTCTGTTTATATAATAATAATTTTTCTCTCATAAGGGAATCAACGGCAGAGAAAAAATATGAAAATGTTGTGCAAAACTATAAATCATATTTGTTGTCATTATACCGTATGTAAAGGTCTTTATATCATTCAGCACATACTGTATGGCATATGTTTAAATATGGTTGAAGGTATAAACCTAGTGAATACCTGTACGCTTCCGCACCAGAATATACATTAATTCATATATTTTTTAGAGTATTATATAATTATTTTTGCATCCCATCACCAGTTAGTATAGTAAAAGTTACTAAAAATATAACACCCGTTACTGACGTTTATAACTGTTTCCCACAACTGTTTCGGAGTTCATTTCAGTTCCTATTACTGTATATAAAATGCAAACACAATTTATTGCATTTTCAAACAAAAAATGTTTTTTAAATGATTTTTTCACATTTGGCAAGAATAACATCCGATACTAAATTCGTATTGTTTTATAAATTAATTTATAATTATTATTATAAACCTATTTATTATTCGTTGTTCAATACTAAACAGATGTCTGAATATCAATAATATTGCAAATTTAATGCTTGTTTTAGTGATTTATGTTAAGTAATATTGATGTAAACGACGAATCCTTGAAATCAATACCACTTAAAAACTAAATCACATGATAGACGTTCAGTCCAATCCCATTATCATCCGGTTAATTGTATGCACCACTAACTGATCCCGTGAATAATATCAAGTTTGCAGTCATACCAAATATCATCACATTTACAAAAGTCATTTTAATTTTCAATTCGTATTAGTTTTATATAATTTAACGCATTATTTATTCAATAGTTTATATACGTATAATGCACTCAAAGTCTAATTACATATTGAATTCAATTAAAAAACAGTTTTTATAAGTTTCCTATTTATTACAAGTTTTTTCCCAGAATCTGAACCCATTTATAATGTGTAACTCAATTCCTCATCAAATGACAAAATAAATCCTTTTCTGGTAAATACAAGCCTTTTCAGCGTTTTTCCAAAGCATTGGTTCAAAATGTTTACCGCAAATGTTGTTTTTTGAATATATTTTGCCATTTTTTGTATCGAAAAATTCATTTAAAACTTGTTTTCATGTTTCTCTCCCTGAGATAAACACTGGGTTTGAATGTATTCATAATTACATAAGAGTTTAAAATATATATTTACATCTAATTATATTCTCTCGCCATTGAAGTGAATGGCATTCATAAGCCATAAGCGGTAAACACTAGCGTTTCCAGCGGTTAGGGCTCTGTATTGTCAACACATTTAAGAGACGAACAATTCTTTTGAATTTCAATACAAACATCATTTCAATTGAGAGATATTTTTAAAAAAAATTTTCGTGTGTTTTCATCTCTATTTTATTGATCACATGAAAAGTATTCACTTAAGAGTTTTAAAAAATTGTTTTCAAAAAGCAATCATACGTTTAATTCAATAAAACATATATTATTTTGTCAACAAAAATATTATTTTGTGTTTATTTTTTGTCGTTTCGTAACACATATCCAATATCTTTGAGTAAAGGTTTTATTTTAGCTCAAAATTTTTAAAACACATTTAAAAAAGCAGTTATTTAATTATATGCATAGATATGCGTTTTTGGTAGCAATATCTTTATGCGAGATCTCTCTCTCTCTCTCTCTCTCTCTCTCTACGCATTTCAATAGAATTTGAAATAGTTTTCACACTTTTTTTGAAATTACTTTTAACGGCTTATTGTTTGTAATATACAGTATAGTAAATATTCTCGCAAATAAATCTCTTTATGCCATCTCAATACCCAATAAACTCAATCCATTATATGTTTACTGAGAATCATAATAATGACCAAATTCTTAACAAATTTCCCCATAAAATAAAGAGAAATGCATGAGATATGTGCTCACGAGTGCTCTCAGACATACAATACATCCCATATATAATGTAGTGAACACTTGAGTACTGTTCACTAATTTCATATATAATACTTATTTTGGAGGTTTTTAGTCTCTCATCTGACTTACACTCAACTCTCACTTTAATTGAAAACAGAGAGAGAGAGAGAGAGAGAGAGAGAGAGATAGAATATTATTCTTGAACTAAAACAGAATTGACACAATTTATATGCGTTTGTAGAGCACATACCTATTGAATTACTACACATATGCTACTCTCTCTCTCTCTCTCTCTCCCTTTCATTTCTAATGAGTTCTTCATTATTCATATATTCAGAGATAATATATTAATCTAATTGAAAAACTGTTTTATTAACTGAGGGAATACCTCATTATATAAGTCAATACAAACTTATTTAATTCATACAAACAATAATTGGGAATATTTTGATTAAATTGACATTTTGTGTGCATTTATTTGAATACATGTTCACTGATATTAGGATATTATGACAAAATAAATTATAACCTTTCATAGGAATCACCACAAAGAAGATAGTGCTGTGATTTGAGTCAGAAGTTGCTAAATATTCTTATGGTAACTGTTATAAGAAATCTGTCAAACAATTTCGAAATATTTATCTGATATGTATCTCAGGGTTTTCTGGATCAGATCCAATAAAGAACCTTGGTCAAATGTCAAATACAGCATCCAGTATAATATAAACATACGATATATACAATTAAATGTTACGCTAATGTCTATAATTGAAATTTGAACACAACTTCCCGATTGTCAAACCTTGGATGACTGGTTTCAACAAACAAAATGTGTGGTAAAACAGACTAATACTGTATAAAAATAGCCCTCTCTCTCCTAATTGCGAACTTTTTTAATTAAAATACTTTTTTTAGTTCACAAATTCTAATGCATTTATTAATCCATTTGTATATTTATAAATTATGAAAATAGTTTCCTTAAAATCTCTTTCATTACACCATTTAAAAAATCTAGTAATTAAATACAAAAAACTTTACATTTATTATATCAATCAATATGAATGTCTTCCTTTGCATATATATTCCGCACCGGTTTTTCGAGAGTTTTCAAGTGGGAGAGAGAGAGAGAGAGAGAGAGAGAGAGCAGTCGCCAGCGAGTCTGTGTTAACATGAGTCTGTCTCACAAACAGAATTTACTGTATATAATAGATATGTAACTCTGAAATGCTGTGCGAGAACTGCATATGAGATGTTGAGCTGACAAACGAGAAATTTCAATGGTATATAACACACGCATTGGAAAACTCGCCGTTAAAACCATACACACATCGAAAGAGTGTATTATATTTTGTAAACTATTTTCTTTCAGTTAGTTTTTCTAAGAAGAGAGACAATTATTGTTGAAAAACTATTGAAATATTTTAGTTTTTGTATAATTGAAATTATAATAATTTGTTGGAAATATTGTGTGTAATTAGTCCGCCAATAAGTTATACAATATTTTTGTTATAAAAGTGTTTGTAATTTTCAAATCAAAGTTTGTTTCACTGAAACATTTCGCTGAGCAAATCATATGGAGTTTCTATGGGGAAAGAGATTGCATACAATTTCATACCCAGTGCTATATTCTATGTGCTTTCGTAAACTATCAGTTGATTTGTATTTCATTATATTTGACACCAAAAGTAAAATCTGATTTTTAGTATTGAATCGAGTATTGAATAAATAATTTTATACTTGTATTCACATAACACCTGATCTGTTTTGGTGAACCCTTTTCTCATTACATAACAAAATACTGTGTGAACTGAAATAGATATTTGACTAGAAATTATTTTCCGGGAAAATAAGCCAAATATAAATAAAATTCATTTTTGTTGTGATTTTCTCTTATTTGTTGGTGTGTTTTGAAGAAGTCTTCGGCTATTTTGAGCCAAAAGTCTTATTATCACCAGAAGAAGAATCACCACAACTGCTGTTGGCATAGAGTAGTGTCAATGCATCCAGACTTTCACCCATCCATACCATCCATCTATGGAAGCGTTGAACTCGAGCTTAAGAACAGGTTAGTGTCTCTTATAGTTATATCGACATATAATATGTATAAACACTTTATTTTCATATACATATTAAGAGCAAAAAACATTTTTCATAAATAAATGTGAAGTTTAAAAAACTTTTTCATAGAATAATAATAATAGTAAATTTAAAAGGAAAGCATATTTTTGTATATATATAATGAGTGAACTGTTTTAAACCATACATAATATATTAATGATAAAAATCATTTAAAATGGTTTGGTTTGACTGGTTTTTAACTCGATTTTTCACTTTAAAAGCTGAACTCATCATCTGCTAAGATATACTACTTTTTGTTGCACCAGAATCTCAGTTAAAAACATACACTCGTTATTTATATGCACTTATTGCACATCATTCATATCGCCTATGCATTCATTAATCTTGATTTGAATCCCACTAATGTCCCGCATTTGAAATGGTCAGGTCATGCCATATATCTGCTGACATTCCACACATTTCACTCAAGACGTTGATATCAGATTCGGGGCCACTCCAGGAGAGCGACGTGTCTGTGATTGGGGCCCAACTGGTGCTCGCACTCAACCATTTGCACGACAACGGAGTGGTTCATCGATGTCTCAATCCAGAGCTGGCGTCCCTGGACTGGAGGGGTCGGGTCAGGATCACCGATCTCAGCAC